CAACAATAACAAGATTGATGCTTAATTCGCAGACAAAACATGCCAGGCTCCTTTTTATATTAAAGAGAAATCCAGAAAATTTAAAAATTGATTTTATATTTTACTAGAAAAATTTTAGAATGACCACTCAAGAACAGATAAGCCATCTCTAGGTTTAAAGCACAGCAGTCTAAGACCCATGTACCACCATTTACTAGGTCACAAAAGAAATTACAGAATTTTTTTTGAAATAAAACACATCCTCTCATTATAATGCAATTAAATTTAGAATAAATACTAAAAATGGAGCAAATATATGTTTAGGAAGTAAAAATATACTCCCAATAACTGAAGGGGGGAAAACAGACATTAAAAATACTTAAAATTGAACAAAACTACATATCAAAACATGGTATGCAGCTAATGAAGAACAGAGGAAAATTTAGAGTCTGAAATTCATTTTAAGAATAACAAAAATTATTGAAAGTAAATGAATAATAATTCAACTCAAGATGCTAGAAAAAGAAAAGTGGTCTAAACATATAACAGAGTAGAAGTAAGAAAACAACGCTTATAAAAGCAAAAAGTACTGACACGGAACACAAGAACAAAAAATAAAGAAGACAAACAAAATAAAAAGCCAGCTTTGCAAAAAGCAAATAAAACAGAAAAAATGTCTAACAACTATAAAGGAAAAATAGAGAAAAGGCTCAGATAAATAATATTAGGGATAAAACCAGTTGCCATTGAGTCACTTCTGACTCATGGTGATGCCATGTGTATTGGAGAAGAATTGTGCTCCATAGGGTTTTCAACGGCTGATTTTTTGGAAGGAGATCTCCAGGCATTTCTTCTGAGGTAGCTGTGGATGGACTTGGACTTACAATCTTTTGGTTATCAGCTGAGCACATTAACTGTTTATATCACCCAGGGACATAATTAAAGATAAAAAGAGTTTAAAAATCATAAGAATATTATGAACAACCTTATGTAAATAAATTTGAATGTGTAGATGAACTGCAAACTGTATATTTTTCTAAAAAAAAAATCTATCTATCATCTATTTTTCTAAACGAACAAACAAAAACCAAACCCACTGCTGTGGAGTTGATTCGGACTCACAGCAACCCCATAGGTTTTCCAAGACTGTAAATCTCTACCGAAGCAGATTGCCACATCTTTTTCCCTCAGAGCCACTGGTGGTTTTGAACTTCCAACCTTTCAGTTAGCAGTGAACACTTTAACCACTGTGCCACCAGGGCTCCTTATATCTAATCTAATCTAATCTATCCATCCATCCATCCATCCATCCATCTACTATCTATCTATCTAAACCGTAAACCAAACCCATTGCTGTTGAGTCAATTCTGACTCATAGAGACCATATATATACATCACTACATATATATATATATACATATACATATATCACTAAACTTGAATTAGGAAGAAATAGAACACTTGAATAAATGAATAACCATAAAAGAAATTGAGCTGATAATCAAAGTCTGCCCTATACTTCTCAGCTTCTGTTGTTAGTTGCTGTCAAGTTGATTCTGACTCATGTAGAACAGTTCCACAGAATTTTCAAGGCTGTCACCTTTTGGAAGCAGTTCACCAGGCCTGTCTTTCGAGGTGCCTATGGGTGGTTTGGAACCACCAAACTTTTGGCTAGTAGTCAAGCACTTAACCATTTGTGCCACTGCCCAGGGACTCTCCTCAGCCCCTACTGGTAAAAAATATCAGGTCCACATGATTTTAGAGGCAAGTTTAACCAAATCATTAAGAATAGGTACCATGGATTGAATTATGTCCCCCCCCAAAAATGTGTGTATCAGTTTGGCTGGGCCATGATTCCTGGTATTGTGTGATTTTCCTATATGTTGTAAATCCTGCCTCTGGGATGTTAATGAGGATGGATGGCAGTTGTGTTAGTAAGGCAGGAGTAGGTCTACAAGATTGGATTGTGTCCTGAGGCAATCTCTTGAGATATAAAAGAGAGAAGTGAGCAGAGAGACAGGGGGACCACATACCACCAAGAAAGCAGTGCCTGGAGCAGAGAGTGTCCTTTGGACCTGGGGTCCTTGTGCAGAGAAGCTCCTAGTTCAGGGGAACACTGATGAGAAGGCCGACAGAGAGAGAAAGCCTTCCCCTGGAGCTGACACCCTGAATTTGGACTTTTAGCCTACTTTACTATAAGGAAACAAACTTCTCTTTGTTAAAGCCATCCACTTGTGGTATTTCTGTTATAGCAGCACTAGATGCTTAAGACAATAGGCAATCCCTATTATATAAAAACTGCTTCAAGAATAGAAAAAAAGGAGCTGTTACCTAACTTATTTTTGAAGCTAATATCACCATGATACCAAAATTCTACAGTAACAGTTTAAGAAAGGAAAATTAAAGATGAAGCTACCTCATGCAAACATAACTACATAAAACATCAACAAATTAAATTCAACAGTGGACATACATACATACACACACACACACACACATATATGTATAAGTATATATATATATATATATATATAGTTTATTCCAGGAATATAAGAAATGGTTAATATCAGGACATATATTGTTATATAAAATATTAATATATTAATAGGAAATTTTATCATATTATTGATGCAGAAAATGTATTAGATAAAATTCATCTAGTATTTCTAATTAAAAAAAAAACATAGCAAAGTAGAAATAGATGGTGATAACTCCCTTTATGCAATAATTCTCATCTACCAAAATTCTAAATAAACACCACATTCCCAAAGTATTTCCATTAAAATAAGAAACAGAAAGATAAACAAGAATCAACTCGACGGCAATGGGTTTAAGGGTAATTAAGGAACTGTGGTGTTAGCACAAAGATAGATAAACAGTCCACTGGGATGGACTAAGGTCTTAAAAACAGATTTGATGTAGGAGAGAGATGGCATTACAAATTAGTGGCTAAATGATGATTAATTCATTAAATGGTGCTGGGATAATTGGTTATCCATATGGAAAAAAGAATAAATGGAATAAAATTGAGTACATGTAAAATAAAACCAAACCAAACCCACTGCTGTTGAGTCAATCGCAACTCATAGCAACACTATAGGACAGAGTAGAACTGCCCCACAGGGTTTCCAAGGCTGTGAAACTTTATGGCAGCAGACCGCCACATCTTTCTCCTGCGGGCCTGCTGGTGGGATTGAATCACCAACCTTTAGGTTAGCACCCAAGCACTTTAACCACTGCGCCACCAGGGGCTCCTCACATGAAAAACAGCACATACCAGAATAAATTCTAGGAGGAATAGAGACCTAAATATAAAAGGCAAAACTTGAAATCTGTTGAAAGAAAATATAGGTAGGTTTCATTACGACCTTGGAGTACAGAAGAATTTCTTAAATGCCATAAAAGCACAAACATAAAGGAAAACATCAGTAAACTTAACTGCATTAAAATTAGAAGCTTAAAAAAAAATAAATTCCACTACAGACACAGTTAAAAAAGAAACCGCAAATTGGGAAGATATTTTCAATCAATATAGCTTAAAGTATTAGGATCTAGAATATTAAAACAATAATCACAAAAGCCAAAACAAACAAAAAACCCTCCAAACTACCAATAACAGCAAAACAACTCAGTAGAAAGATGGGAAAAACATAAAGGTAATGCACAAAAGAGGAAATCCCAAATGGCGAATAAGTGAAAAAAAATTTTCAATGAGCTATTATTTAATCCCCTTCACATTGACCGAGATTTTAAGTCTGATTATTCTAAATCTTGTCAAGTATGCAGAGAACCGGTTACCCTCATAGAATGTTAGTGAGAATATAAATTGCTATTACCACTTTGGTGAGAAATTTTATAATACCTAGTCAAGTTGAAAATGCATATTTCTTATAGTTAAGCAAGTTCACCTCTATGTGCATACATTTATAAAAAGGTTAACCCAAGTATTGTTTGTGATTGGAAAACACTGGAAACTGTCTAACAACGGAGAATCAATCAACAAACTTTAATATGTAAGTAGGATACATTTTATATGTCATAATATAAACCAAAACCAAACCTGTTGCCGTCAAGTTGATTCTGACTCATGGCGATCCTATAGGACAGAGTAGAACAGCCCGATAGGGTTTTCAAGGAGCACCTGGTGGATTTGAACTGCTGATTTTTGGTTAGCAGCCATAGCTCTTAACCACTATATCACCAGGGTTTCCTGTCATAATATATAACTTACATAAAACTAATTCAAGATGATAGAGGTCAGAATAGTTTTGCTTGTTTTTAACCTTTTGTTAAAGCTTTGGAAAACATCGCCTGCAAGGAGGTATGGAGTCCTGACGTATTGCAAATGTTCTGTATCTTGATTTGGGTGGTTGTCACCTGGATGTATACTTACATAAAAATTCATCAAGCTACACACCTAATTTGTGTGTATATTTTTTACTGTATAGACTTTATACCAGAATAACAAAATATAAAAATAGGTTCATAACTAAATATTTCAAATTATTCAGATTTATTAAACCTGGGTGCTGGCTTCTCACATTTTCATGTTATTCTTTATACTTCTCTGTGTTTAAAACATTTTACACTGAACACTTAAAAGAAGTGGACCACTGCATTTCCAAACTAGAACTGACAAAGGTAAAAGAAGGAACTACGTCATCTTCTTTTCACTGTCTCTGACAATAGACCCCAATATTCCTGGAATCAATAAGCATTTCACAACCAAACACACTTACAAAGTAATCATTTTGTTGAATGACAAGCAAAACTTTCAATGCATTTATTGACTAAGTGTAGAACCTAGGTTTTCTTAAGTGAGTGGCCAGTGGATTATATTTTTGATAAAGACATACACTACAAATGCACAAAGATCATTCATTTAGGTTTTTCAACTGATGAAGTGGGGAATGGATTGCCAAGGACTTTTCTGATGTGAATCAACAGGTGGCTTGGCATCAATATTGCTATTTGTTTGTGGGTTTCACCTCTGGTTTCAGAAAAGAAAAAAGAGACGATACCTTTTCAATGCTGTGTTTCAAGTTGACCATATGGAAAGCAAGGTTTTATTCCAGCCAATTCTCTTTCTCTTGCAACGTGGAGGAAAAGCGCCAGCCACTGCTACTCTCGCCACCAGCCATGGTACAGATGTTTGGAAAATGCAAAAACAGAGAAACGAAACAAAAAGAAAACCCTCAAAAATAAGTTTTGCATAAATGAAAATAGAGTATATAATTATCATAGCTGCAAAAAGGTAAATGCATTTTTTAAAAATATTACCCCTTATGTTAGAGAAAAAGAATCAAAACAAACAAAAACATTGATGCTTTCACTTAACCGGTGTTTTGCTGAAACTAACAATTATAAGGACTGACTCTCAAACATGGCTAAAAGTGGGAGTAAAAACAGATTTAATCTGATAAAAGATTTCTTATCTACAAGAATCTTATAATCTTATTAAAGGAATAAAACCCGTTGCCATCAAGTCGATTCCGACTGATAGTGACCCTATAGAATAGAGGAGAACTGCCCCATAGGGTTTCCAAGGAGAGGCTGGTAGATTCAAACTGCTGACCTTTTGGTTAGCAGCTGTTAACTACTGCGTAACCAGGGCTCCATTAAAGGAATAGGGTGATTAAAAAAAACATGTTTTCAGATACCCAAACAGGAATAGCGTAAATGTTTCTTTGAAAGCTGGCAAGAGAACAAAATTAATTGAAATAATAAAGGCTCCTCACACTACTCTGATAAAATATAGCTCAATCAACCAGTTGCTGTCAAGTCGGTTCTGCCTCACGGAGATCCCATGAGTGTAAGAGTAGAATTGTGCTCCATAGGGTTTTCAATGGCTGATTTTTCAGAAGTAGATCACCAGGCCTTTCTTCCAAGGCACCTCTGAGTAGGCTCCAACCTCCAACCTTTCTTGTTAGCAACCGAGAGCACTAACCATTGGCACCACCTAGGAACTCCTAAAATAATAGTTTAGGAAGAAAGAACTGGAACCCGTTCACATGCACTTCCCTTAGGTGGCTTGGTTGTTGCTGATATTCCCAGTTTTCCTCCACAGCAAATGCCATCACAGATTGAAGAACAGCTATGTAAACTCTCTATGTAACAGCCCTGGTGGTGCAGTGGTTAAAGTGCTCAGCTGCCACTAGCTGCTCCGTGGGAGAAAGATGTGGCAGTCTGCTCCTGTAAAGATTACAGCTTTGGAAACTCTATATATAGGGTCACTATGAGTCAGAATCCACTTGACTGCACTGGGTTTTTTGTTGTTTTGTTTTTTGTATGTAAATTATTAAGGTATGAATGTCTTTGTTTAAAAGAAAGTTTTTAAAAATGTGATGTAACCTCCGGGAGTGGATTACCTAAATCGAAAGTCAGACCTTGGCTTTAGGCTGAGCTCTACCACCATCCTGTTGTATTATCTTTGTTCAAGTTATTAAAGGTCTTGAGTTTCAGTATCCGCATCTCTAAAATGAGAGTGTGACACAGAGGCAAAGCCCAATTCCTCAAGCTCTCTTCCAGCCCTGAAGTTCTATGGATTCAATGAGAATTACTCCAGCACGAGAAGTTTGTTCTTCCTTCCTTGCTTGCTTTCTTAAAACTAAACAAACAAATAAGTAAATAAACAAAATAATAATAAAACACACACACACTAATTAGCTATGCCTCTGAATAAGAAGAGGAAACTTTTTTTTTTTTTGCTGTTATCTAGTCCCTAATGGGTATTTAAAAAGAGGGTTCTCATAAAGAAGATTTTTATTTTTTCAGAATCAAAAATAGAATATTATTTCTTTGCCATTGAAGCTCTATTAAGAAGGAAAACATAAAATCGCGTCAGAAATCCTATTAGGAGCCTTAAAAAGAAAGTAAAGGTCAGTGAAACGCTATTTAAAATTCAGGCTGTTCATTTACACGTTTTCTTTAAGTACCCCTCCCCTCATACTAGCTTCACTTCCTTTTCCAGGGACATATCCCCAACTCTGTAAAACACAAGTCCCTCTTCTCACACCCTTCCCACCTCCCACCTGTCCTCGAGGCAGCTGTTCCACAGAGCTGAGGTGTAGATTACAACCCAAGATATTGGGATGGGAGTAACACATTTCACCTGGGAGACACTTCTGTGGTCCCCTCGCCAACTCTAGAAGAAAGCTATGCCCCACCACTACTTTGGCAAGAAATTTGGGTTGTCATGGCTGAACAATGATAATCGTTTTTACAAAAGACTTTTTCAAATTGGAGCCCTGGTGGCGCAGCAGTTAAGAGCTTGGCTGCTAACCAAAAGGTCACCAGTTCGAATCCACCAGCCGCTCCTTGGAAACCCTATGGGACAGTTATACTCTGTCCTGTAGGGTTGCTATGAGTCCCAATCGACTGGATGGCAACGATTTTTTTTTTCAGATTAAAGCACCTCAAGCGCCAGCCAGAACAGAAGTCTGAGAATGCAGATTTTCCAAGTCAACATTTAAACTGGTCAAGACAGTATCAGTGTACCTGAACAGACTTTCTGAAAGGCCTAAAAAGAATATAGGGCACCTGACACCCTGGTGACTAAGCGAAGCTCAGCTTTAGGAAAAGGCCAGAGTCTTAAGGTGGAATGCTCCATTGTTCCAAGTGCTGATATGTCTTAAGGCACCAACAGAGGCGGGGTGCAGCCCGCAAGGCTCCTTTTACAGGCTGCTGCTCTGCGTGCTGATGACGCTGGAATCCACCCGTGCACTCAGAGAACCCCAATGGGTGGGTCCCGAGGGGAGGAGGGTTCCTCAAAAACAGAAAGATAGGAGTGGAAAGTTGCACAGTGTGTGAGCACTCCCTGCTGGCAGCTGAGCTTGAGGATGAATTGGTGGTGTCTTAGGGTGTCTGAGGTTTCTGTGAGAAGACTAATGGAGACCTGGCACCGTCAGGGGACCAGAGCCTGGTTCTTATTAAGTTTAAACTAAAAACAAACAGAAAAACCCGCTGCCGTCAAGTCGATTCCAACTCATAGGGACCCTATAGGACAGAGTAGAACTGCCCCATAGGGTTTCCAAGGCTGTAATCTTTATTTACAGAAGCAGACTGCCACATCCTTCTCCCTCGGAGTGGCTGGTGGGTTCCAACGGCTGGTCTTACGGTTAGCAGCCAAGCACTTAACCACTGCACCACCAGGGCCCCTTTGACTTGGTTTATATAGCAACAAATGTTAATCTGAATGAGGAGGAAGTTAGCAGAAGCTACCAATAGAAGGAACTCCAAAAACTGACGAAAGCTTTGTGTGAAGCTGGTATATGATTTTCATTTAACTTTCCCGGCTATGAACATTCTATAAAGCATACACAGGGTGTGTGTGTGTGTGTGTGTGTGTGTGTGTGTGTGTGTGTGTTTAGAAAATAAATTTCATGCAGCTCATTTTGCTCCAACAAGGGAATCCTTGGGACAGTACAATTTGTTTACAATATTTAAGTTTTACCAGAAATGTCATCCATATCCCTGATAAAACGGCCTGGCGTGTTCATACATCATCTCACTTTTATCAACTCAACGGCAACGAGTTTGGTTTTATTTCTTTGGTTTGAGTGAACCTTAGACACACAGTCCCCGTTTACCTGCACAGGCCTGGGACAGGAGTACTGGGATCTCCGTAGTGCCCTGCTCTGTCAGGGTTCTTCAGTATAATAAAATGAGGGTCACAATGGTAGCTTGCTAAAAGCAGCAGTATTTCAGTTGCAGGAATAACTTGCTTGTCACCAACTTGTTAATGCAATAGTCAAACATTTCTTTGACATGTAGAGTATCAGCTAACTTCAGCAGATAAAGGGTCTAGAACAGGAAGATGCTGCAGATGCTTTAGCTCGGAGGAAGGCTTAGCAGAGCCAAAACGTCAGCAGGGGCTGTTTGTTCCGCACTTTCCGTTGGGCTCTGAGAAAGAAATGTTAGATCACTGCAGTGACAAGTTTGTGACAAGCAAGTCATTCGTGCAACTGGTGCGCTCCTGTTTTTATCTGTTTACCATTCAGACTTGTGAATGCCATTTCAAGCACTTACAGGATTTCTGGCTCCCATTAAGGGGAAACGTTCCTCCATGTTTAGAATTTTCTGCCTCAAAGAGAATTACTAAGCAATTATTTATTGCTGTGGTCACAGTGTCACACAAAAGCACTCTTCAGTTGCTTAGTTGGACTCGGAATCACGCAATGGAGTCCTGGGGACTGGATAACTTGGAGGGTCATCGAGTTTATTGGAATGACTACAAAGCAAGCCTGTGAGAGTCAATAAATTTGTGGCCAGCTTGAAATACCTTGCTCTTTTGCTCCAGAATCATATAACAAGGCCATATGCCTCAAGGCACATAAACTCACTTGTAGTGAGTAGATCCTGAGAAGCCAAGGCCTGACTATGTCACAGACACTGACATGTCGTCTTCCATATGATAGTTCTGGTGACAAGGGACCGCTTGAGGTGTTGAAGATGATTTATAATGCCTTCAACCTGTACTGTGTGGGTAACCAAAGGGCCAATCCAAATCAGAAAACATTTTAACTGTGTGGTAAAAAATTATATCATAATATGAAATTAACACGTGGTATCATCCTCTCCAGGCTCAATTCATTCATAGTAAGTAGAGAACCTGGCACAGTTGGCAACACAATTCTTGATCCTCTCATTAGATTCTTCTTCTGAGATCACTGAGTGACTTTTGTCAAGTCATCTTACCCTCCTGGTGAGGAAGGAGGAGAAGAATACTAATACCTTTTCTTGTTCATCTGGTGTGAATGGTCCCAGAGCTAATGTTAGAAAAGATGAAGAGTGCCTTCAGAACTCAAGAACAAGAACAAACCAAAAAAACCCAAACCCACTGCCACTGAGTCGATCCCGTCTCCTGGCGATACTGTGCGCTGCAGAATAGAAATACTTGAATTCCCTTAGCTGTAATCCTTATGGAAGCAGATCTCCAGATTGTTCTTTCAATGTGCCACTGGCTGGGTTCGAACTGCCAACCTTTTGGTTAGTAGCTGATTGCAAACCGACCCACACCACCCAGGTCTCTAAATGTCATGTATTCTTACTAGATTTTAAATCAGTCATTTTTGTCTGTTGCTGGTACTGAACTGATCAATAATCTTAGGCGTAAGTCTTAAAGAATATAGCTGCATGAGGTTTTAAAGAAGGGAGAGAGACACAATATCTGGGGAAGGTAAATTGTCCTGAAGCAGTTCAAAGCTGGAACAGAACGTAGAAAGCCAAGGACCAGACAGAAAGTAATGACATAAATGATCAGAACTTGGTATGGGTGAGTAGAGAATGTTACATAAATAGATAATAGAACTGGCTGAATAAAAATTGTTAGTAATTATTTACTGGATACTATAAATGTTACATAATTTCCATGTGGAACTTAATCTTTACAAAAGCTCTATGGTCTATATATTATCAGTTTTTTTTTTTTTCCAAATGTGACAACTAAAACTTAGGAAAATTTAAATACCTCACCATAAATGTGTAAGTAGTAGAGATTTGAAGTTAGTTTTCTCTGACTTCAAAGCCCATTGACTCTTAACCACTAAAGACCTAAAGTCATTCCCAGTGCCTTCAGAAGACTTTTCCCTTTGAGTTTACTAGAAAATATTTTACGGTGTAAATGTAGAAATTAAAGCGTTTGATCTGAAAGGGCCAGTGAGAAGATTCTGGCTATAGCTGTGTCGCCTTTGAGAAAGCGGAGCTTCATCAAGATGTCGCTCCTCTCCCCTAGCCTGACCTGTCCCTACCTTAATACGTTGGGGAAGTGGCCAAAGGGATTCGAGCCTAATGGTGTATCTCTGTGCTGTGAACGCAGGGTGTTTGGCAGCATCTCCTGTGTCTATGCCAACTCCTTTCTCTCTGTTCATGTGTATTGCCTTTAGTTCACCCTGCTCTCTGCTCCAACGTTACCTCCAGGGAGCCTCCTTTTGTCACTTGTCTGCTATTCTTTTTAGGTGGGGGAAGGGGCGGACATCTTTCTTAACCATGACAAGGATCACTGAAACAGTCTAAACTTCAAACTTTGAACAGAATGTTTCCTTTGTTCATTCCTTTTGCTTTGTTTCTTTTTAATGATAGCTTTGCTAGGAGTCCCATTCGTATGTAACTCAGAGCTATGCAAATCAAACTGGTAAGCAAGACTCAGCAGCTACTACATCTTCAAATGAGTATGTGTCCAAGATGTGGAAACCTCTGAGTGTCACGTGGGGAAGGGCTGCCTTCCTTTTATGAGTAGTGGAGAACAAGCCCGGTGACATCTGCACGGACACTCCCTGGCCTCTTCTTGGTGTGTATTTAGAGTAGGAAAGGAGAGGATTTAGCTCACACAAACTCTATTTTTTCATTACATTTCTACATTTTTTCCTTCTAGGGGTCTTCCCAAACATAAGATTCTTGCTTTAAAGCTCTCAAAAAAGACCCCAAGCATGTAGAATAATAAGGTCACAAAACAATGATATGGCAATGATCTGGTGTCTGAATCTGCTCACTGTCCAGAGCCTCTGCTGGACACCACCAAGGACATGGGGCTCCCAACCTCACAGCCAGCCCCATCCTGCTTTAGGATACTTCTATGGTACAAAATGTTCTTCATTATATTGAACCTTAACTAGTCTTCCTAAAATTCCCCCCATTGGTTCTAGTTCTTCCCCACTCTACTTTCAGTAACGAGAGCTTCGGGGAATTAACTGGTTTAACAGCTCATCAAATGATAAGTCTTAGGCACACCATAAACCAAAAACTGGATCTAGATTGTCCTGCTTTGTCCCTCCCCCCTCCCCTCATATGAGTTAAATTCCCACTCTGCTCCTTCCCATCCCACAACCCTGGGAGAAAAGCAAGTCAGGTAGTCTATCCATTTCTCATTTCCATATGGATGTAGGTACCACAAGTAGCAAAGCATTCTTAATGTCTTTGATTTTCTGTCCTATTCTGTGTAAATCTCTGACAACTTTAGGTGATTTGATTGACATGGCTAATTTTAGGGTGACTATATAATTTATTGTCCAAAAGGGAACACTTCTGAGAATGAAAGGACCCTCTGAATAATTATACCAAGACTACAGGCATAAATCCGAACTGTCACGGGCAAACCTATCCAGCACCATGCCTTGCACATAACTTTCCCTCAATACCTGTCTTTTTGTGCTGTACTAATCTGTTTTCATGTCTGTTTCTTGCACCAGGCTGTTAGTACTCTTGAGTGACTGAAACTTGTTCACCTGTGTGCCTACAGTTTCTAGGAAGTACTTGGAAAGTAGGAAGAACTTGGTGGATTTTTATTTGTTTTGAATTGGGGGCATCTTTTCCCCTAATTTCTTTCTGTAAACCTCTCCCTTATTTTTAGAGAAGTTTTTTAAATGAATCAAAAGTACTTCACTTAGTGCTCATAGGAAGAGGACTGTTTGAGTTTAACAGTAATGGGTTTGACTTTGAACATTGACAACAACAGGCAGACAATGTGATAAAATTTCCTCTGAAAGCCTACTACACTTTTTTTTTTTTAATACAAAACACTGAATAATATGCTCTAGTCCTCTTCTTCACAGGTAAATTATCTATCTAGCTGCTGTGCCCACAACTTCAAGTCTGTAGTAAACCAATTATTATAGGAAATGATGGTCACACAGTGTTATCCCCCATTCTCCACTGTAACGGTGGTGGACTTCTATTGCCTTCACTCTAGGCAAACATATTTAGAAGTTCTGGTGGCTTTTGGCAGTTTGTTTCCAAATAGCAATGGCATTAAGAAATGGGGAGGGGGGCTCTTAAAAAAATGTGAACCACCTAGACAAGTCATTAATTCTCTTCTCCCTGATACATTTAAAACAGTCCAGAGAGATGTGAGTTTATCCGGTTTAATTTAAAGAGCTCCACAGAAGACAGCCCCACAACTCCCCTTTCAGTGTTTAGAAGCTCTTAATATCAAGAACTTACCCTATTATGAAACCTAAAGATTCTCTGTTACAGTATAAACCTACTTTGTCACTATGGGGCCTCAGTGGAGAAAGAATTACCATTTACAGCTGCCCACAACTTGCTTAAAAACTTGTATTAGCTCACTGCCTCAACTTTTTTTTTTTCCTAAGATCAAAACAAAATCTCAATGTCTTTGACATTTCCTTAAAAAACTTGTGTTTCAAAATGTTAAATTTAAATTTTATTGGAAGGAGTTTTATAACTCACTCTCTCCAAAATGTTTATATCCAATATTAGTTGAATTCAGAATAAGTACTATTAAGTATCGGACCTAAGTTCAATAGAAATGAGAGAAAAGTCTATATTCTATCTATATGCTTCTTTATCCATTCCACTATTACAGCTATTCTATAAATTTCTGTTCTACATTTCAAACTCTTGTTTAACATTCTATGCTCTACTTCTAAGTGCTATTTTGCCTACAAAGCTAGCCATTCTTTATTTTCAGTCCATCAATGACATTTACCAAACCATCGTGGGTAACAGAAACTAAAGACTTGCAAGAGGTCCACAGAAAGAAACTAGGGAAAAAGACATCTTCAACTAAAAACAAAAACAACAACAACAAAGCTACCAAGCTCCTCCTGTTTACCAAGTTTTGAAAGAAGCAAAGCTATATGCCTGTCCTTGTAGAGTCTTTAATTTATGGGGAAAGAACATAGTCCAACATAAAAGAAGCAAAGGAGGGTATCCATGTTCAATTGTGTGGGTCAGCAGTTATTAGCATATGCAAACTAATACGTTGTTGTTATGTGCCATGGAGGCGATTTCAACTCACAGCAACCCTGTATGACAGAGTAGAACTGTCCCCTAAGGTTTCCTGGGCTGTAATCTTTATGGGAGCAGATGGCCAGGTCTTTTCTCCCAAGGAACCACCAGTGGGATTGAACTGTTGACTTTAGGTTAGTGGCCGAACCCTTAACCATTGCACCACCAGGGCTTCTTGCAAACTAATATAGCTATATGAAATTTTATATAAAAATGATGAGGGAGTAGTGGGATGGACTGTCATTTGTGAGGTTTGTTTTCTCTATTGAAGAATATCAATGATAACTTTTATTAAACAACAATCTGTTTACTTCCTGCTTTACTGAGTGTTCATTTCAAATGACTGTACTCCTTCTAAAGTGGTTGGTTATACCTGTCCCTCATGGTGTTGCCATTTGTAGCTGCACATAAAACACCGTACTTTGAAAGCACGTGCTCCCTATCTTTGACATATAAAATAGTGATAGGAAGTCTTGGTGTCCTATTGTTAATGTGATTTTATAACACTCTTCCTGCCTAGTCCTTCTTAAATTCTGAGTAAAATATAATTTTAAATTAAAATTCATTTTGTTTTGAGATTTGAAATACCTTCTCTAATAATTTAGAATACACTAGGCTCTGCTAATACTGGAAAAAATGTGTCCAGATCATCGAGGTAATCAAAAGCCAAGATTCAGGATGACCCTAATGGCATACTACTTCTCCATTTCCCCATACTGACTCTGATCTCCTAATAATTATTTTCTGATAATGCTGACGTGCTTGGCACCAAATAAACAGGCTAGAAATCTTTATTTTCATGTGGGGCAAAATTAAAAGCTCTCCTTGTTCAGGAGGCTTTAGATTATAATTCTAGCTTTGTCTTAGTTCACCAGAGCTCTCATTTGGCTGAGAAAGACAATGTACTGGCATGGCATTGTGTTGGTTAATACCTAGTGCCCTAGTGTGGTGGATTAATTACTTTTGTGTGTGGCCTTTCTAGCCATGGTCTTGTAACTCCCACCCAGGTGATTGGGCGGGACTGTGTGATAGGGTAATTGTGGCCTACCAAGTGGATTGGTCAGTTTTGCCTTAAAAGAGAGACAATTTCAGAGCAGAGAGCCCACCACCAAGGAAGGAAAGATCAGCGGCAGGAGATGGTGTGGTAGGCTTCCCAGCCCACGGAGAGAGAAAGCTGAGTGCCTTTGGGCAGAGACTGAGGGCCAAGGAGAGGTGTGCCTGTGAGCACAGCTGGGGAGAGGCTATCCTGATGGAAGAACTGTATCCTGAGTGTTCTTGAGCCTGAATTGTAACTGTTACTTCCCTAATAAACCCCATAATTGTGAGTATGGTTGTTGAGTTCTGTGTGGCCATTGTAACAAATTACCGAACCCAGCAGAGAAGAACAGAGTGCTGTGTGTGGGACGGCTGGTGTCAGAATTAGTAAAGATGGTGGAGAGAGGAGGTTTGTCTGACCTCTCCCTCATGGGAGTCAGCCTTGCACTGTTGTTCTTGGTTCTCCTTCCCCCTTGTGGGGTTGGAGGAGGTCAGACACCACCCCCAAGCCATTTTTACATCTAGGATCACCAAAGGATTGGCAAATCAGGTTTATCTGAGTTTTCCTGCAATATCTGTTGCATGGAGGTTAGACTTCCATGTCTATAACTTTCAGGTGTAAGTATTAAGATGGTTGTGTTCCAATGCAATTTCCCAAATAGTGAGGTGCATTCTGACAAAGAAGAGACAATGAAGGTAAATGTGAAGGCATCATAACCCACAATCCAGTAAGCTGAGAAGAGCATAACCGCAGCACCCCTGGGTGATCAGCCAGAGAGCACCACGTATGTAAGAGGTCTAATTCCTACACTAATCTTTATTTTTAATTGCACTGAATATAAACATAACAATTAATGAGAAGCTCATTTATTACATTTATAGAGAATCTTTCCTCTAAAGAGGTTACTTAGTCTAGTTATACAAAAGGTAACGAACGACCTTTTGTCCAATCTATTCTTACATTTTATACATTTTCTACTAGCCTAACCTTCCCTTGCACCTGCCCAATCTATTCTGCTCCTACCATACAATTTCAAGAGATCCGCATATATAACTTAACATTCCTTACAGCCGGGCGCTGGGTCTGTGACTGCTGATTATGCAGATAGCTGCCAGGCCACTCTGCCATGAGCAGAAACTGAAAGTCATATGCTTATATAATTATTAAAGAGGACTTTTATTATAGAGAAGCATAAAGCTATTTCAAAAGCCCATCTCTTCAAAAAGAACAAAGCAATTGCCCCATTCCGGGTTATGTCCACCAAAAATGCAAAGTGAGACTTCTTAAAAAAGTGGACCTTTAGAGGTGAATACTAAAAAACATCCCCTTAGTAGTGATGATGCCACTTACTTAGGGTCTCTTCAGGAAGACAGGGTGGGAATCATTATAAAACCACTCAACCATTCATAAACTGAAAACAAAAATGACAATTTATTGGCCATAAAATGGCAGGGGTGGGGGACAGATTTCTGAAAAAATGTATTCCTGTGACTGAACACACACAACTGGAAACAGGCCATTTTACCTCCTGTGCCTTTAAGGGGGGTTGTGGGTCTCTACTTGAGTGGTGCCTGTCAGGAAGGCATCCAAGTGGCTCATCTCCATAAAAATAGTAGATTTGATTTTGTGTTAAGGTAGACCTTTTAAACAGCCTCTTCAAATGCTCTGTTGATTATTAGCCATACAGTTGGACAGCTATTCTTTTCTGGCAGGGGTCTCCAAGGCTGGGGAGTCAATACACGTGCCTTCCCTGCTGAGGTGGGGGCTGACTGGCATCCTCCCTCAGTGTCTCTGTCCCGCTGTTCTCATTTCCCTCAATTCACTCTGTGATCAGCAGACAAAATATACACTAGAGAAGAAAGAGCTGAAGAAGTTGCTAGGATTTCTAAGAAAGAAGAACCCAAATCTTGCCTGCTTCAGGCAAGAGAACATTCTACTGTTAGTGAAAAGAGATGGTTAAATTGCAACCCATCAAATTTCAAATACAGTCCTAAAGTGTGCCTAAAGTGATACACAGAAAACAAAATTCCTCCTGTCTTGAGCTATAAATTTTGCAGGCTGATTCTATGTTCTCAATCTCATTCCTGACTCTTCCTCAGCCCCAGAAAGGATTAGCATCTAATGTTGAACAGAGTATACAATAAAGAACAGATATTAATATATACTTGTAAAATTATGAATCCAGAGCAAGAAGAGGGCAAGTCTTAGCTCAGCAGATGAGTCCTGTTGACAGGAATGGAGTCATGTTTCTCACTCATCTGTGCAAGGCAATGACAGTTTTCTCTATTATAGCTTCAGATGAAGTTTTGGTGGTATACAAAATTTGTGGTTAATGCTGCACATTAGCATTATTTTTGTTTTGTTTTGTTTTTTCTCCTCTCTGCGACCACAAAAAGATCTAAGTATAGACACAGGCAAAAGAGCATGCACGTTTAGTCATTGGCAGTTATATATGTTATTATATTCTATTGTACATGCATTAGAAAGAAAATTCCAAATCCTTTGTTGGAGGCCTTGTTACAAATTGACATATACTTATGCTTTCCTTTCTGTTAACACCCTTGGGGTGCTAACTTAAAGGTTGGAGGTTTGAGTCCACCCAGAGGCACCTCGGAAGAAAGCCCTAATGGTCTATTTCCAAAAGATCAGCCATTGAAAACCCTACAGGGCACAGGTTCTACTCTGACACACATGGGGTCACCATGAGTCAGAAATGACTCCATGGTAAGTGTTTCTTCTTCTTCTTTTTTGCTTTTTCTTTTTTCTTAATTTCTCAATCCTTGTGCCCATTTTTCCCTTTTTAAATTTTGGGGCCTGTCTTATATCACCAGATGATTCCTGATAGTTGGAGCCCTGCAGCAGTCCTTTGTCCGTCCAGGTTGCTTACTTCAACACAATACTCCCAAGGAGCCTTATTCCTACCAAGGATGATGATTGATAAGGCTTAAAAAAATGATGGCATTTGTAAATATGACATAATATCTGGAGGCTGCATTTATAGCTGGTCAAGTGATCTTTTGCTCATAATTGCAAAGTAAATAAATATGCATATTTTCCTTTCTAAAGTATAACTAAAGGCCTCAGAGGTCTTGGGTTTTCCTTCAACTGTCATATTCAACTGCATTAATGCTGTTCATTAGTTGTTTGTTTTTTTTTTTTCTTTTTCCCTCAGTCCCAACAAGAACCACCTTAAAAGCTTCTATGGTGTATAACAGATCCTGAGAGCCCACCCAGAAAGAAAAGAGTCAAATGTTCGTGACCTGAACTGAAGTTCAAATTGGGAAAGGTCTGTGACTGAGATAAAGTTTGGTTAAGCCCATTGAATTTAGGAGTTATTCCTGGACCAATGGATCCAAGGAATACTCCACTTTAAGGATTTCCTTGAAGAGCATTATTTTCTTGGATATTTGGAACTCGGGGTTATTTGCTCTGAGGATGACCTATAGCTTGGCAAAGTCTTCCATATTTATCATAGGTTGGACCCAGATCTCCAAGATAAGACTAGTCTCTGGTAAATTCTCATCTTCCTTGGTCCTTTCTTTAAGGTTCAGATTCCTGACTTATTCTTATCAGACAAAATGGTCACAGTTACACAGGGGTTGAGAGAATACGGTGGTGCAGTTATTAGATGTTGCCCTAATATGAGTCTCCCTTAGAAGCCTTGGAAGCCTGTATGCCGTATCTAGTACAGTTCACGGGAAAGCTGACATAATAGTGCTGTAATGACTCAGCTTATACATGGACCATTTCATTGGCATGGTAGGGATGATGGCTCCCAACCCACTAGTATTTCCTTTTTATTTAGCTTAATCTCTATCACACTAGGTTCATACACGGGCTATAGAGACTTCACCTAGAAAGCCCTAACAGGCTTAGAAACACATATTTCTACCAAAAAATAGCAATGACAATTTAGGCCCCAAATATCCTAACCTAAGCAAAAAGAAAAACCTATAATATAATGAAAAATATGTATTGTCTGTGCATCATCACCTTATATCCTACAAAACCTACTAAATCAAGATTGTACAATGATGTCATTTACCTCAGTTTTTGTAATAGTATTTTTTGAGAGTTCCTATTTTTGTATCTAGATGAAAAAATGGTATCACATAAATGAGGAAGACAAGCAGCAAAAAGGTACAGGGGGCAAATGCCAGATGTCCAGACACTGCCTACAAAGTGTTGCCAGTAGTGAAGGGATCTGACATGCTGATACTCACTCATTCCGGCTCGTTACCGAGACACTAAGCGCGTGATGGCTGCCAGGCACCGTGTTTAAGTGTGGTCGCTGAGGCCCCAACTATTGACATAGTGCCAGATTCTGAGAAACTATTGATGTACACAGCCGGCCACAGCTCCAGACACCTCTCAGACAGAGTCTTTAAATGTCACAGATAAATGAATTTTCATGAAACTAGGAGAGAGGAAGCTCAAGAAGAGAGAAAGAACACAAAACGAGAGGCAGGGGAAGAAAAAAGAAAGGAAATCACTTCCCTAACACTGATACAAAACGTGGCATCTCATCTCTAAAGTGCAATCGATAACTCCTTACAAAAGATGTGAGACCAAGCTTCTTCAACGCACCCTGTGTTAACAAACCATGCAAGCACCTTTAAATAATTTATTTGTGTGGTATTAAGAAAGTTAGGGAAGATACATGTTACACAATAGCTTCAACAAACTATATCTGAACAAAATATGATTCAAATACATGTTATTGTTAGTTGCCATCGAGCTGACTCCAACTCATGGCAACCCCACGTGTGCAGAGTAGAACTGCTCCATAGGGTTTTCAAGGCTGTGACCTTTTGGAAGAAGATCACCAGGCCTGTCTTCCAAGGTGCCACTGGGTAGGTTTGAACCACCAACCTTTTGACTACTAGTCAAGCGCTTAATTGTTTGTGCCATCTGGGGCTTTCTGGTTCAAATATAAATATTACAAAATTCAGTCATTAAAAAAAAAAAACAGCGATGTACACACACACACACTTTAATGGAA